ATTTCCATCTCTTAAAGATTATTCCAGTTTGTTGTGATCCACATAGTCAAAGACTTCAGCGTAGTCAATGAAGCAAAAGTAAATTTTTTATTTCGGAAATCTCTTGCTTTTTCTATGATCCAATGGATATTGGCTATTTGATCTCTGGTTCCTCTGCCTTTTAGAAATCTGGCTCATACATCTGGGAATACTCGGTTCACATACTGTTGAAGTCTTGCTTGGAGAATTTTGAGCATTACTTTGCTAGCACATGAGATGATTGCATTTGTGCAGTAGTTTAAGCATTCTTTGGCATTGCCTTTCTTTGGGATTGGAATGAAAACTGACCTTTTACAGTCCTGTGGAAACTGCTGAGTTTTCCAAATTTGTTGGCATATTGAGTGCAGCACTTTCTCAGCATCCTCTTTTAGGATTTGAAATGGCTCAGCTGGAATTCCATCACCTCCACTGCCTTTGCTCATAGTGATGCTTCCTAAGGCCCACTTAACTTCAGACTCCAGGATGTCTGGCTCTAGGTGAGTAATCACACCATCGTGGTTATCTGGGTCAGTAAGATATTTTTTGTATAGTTTTCTGTATGTTCTTGCCACCTCTTCTTAATTTATTCTGCTTTTGTTAGGTGCATACCACTTCTGTCCTTTATTATGTCCATCTTTGCATGAAATGTTCCCTTGGTATCTCTAATTTTCTAGAAGAGATCTCCAGTCTTTCCCATTCTGTTGTTTTCCTCTATTTCTTTGCATTGATCACTGAGGAAGCCTTGCTTATCTCTCTTTGCTATTCTTTGGAACTCTGCATTCAGATGGATATATCTTTCTTTTTCTCCTTTGCCTTTTGCTTCTCTTCTTCTTTTTTTTTTTTTTTTTTTTTTTTGTCAATTTGTAGGGCCTTCTCAGACAACCATTTTGCCTTTTTGCATTTTTCTTTCTTGGGGATGGTTTTAACCACAGCCTTCTGTAAAATGTTACAAACTTCCATCCATATGTCTTCAGGCACTCTGTCTATCAAATCTTATCCATGGAATCTATGTGTCACTTCCACTGTATAATCATAAGATATTTGATTTAGGCCATTCCTGAATGATGTAGTGGTTTTCCCTACTTTCTTCAACTTAATTCTGAATTTTGCAATAAGGAATTCATGATCTGAGTCACAGTCAGCACCCGATCTTACTTTTGCTGACTGTATAAAGTTTCTCCATCTTTGGATGCAAAGAACATAATCAATCTGACTTGGGTGTTGACCATCTGGGGATGTCCATGTGTGCTATCATCTCCTGTATTGTTGGAAGAGGGTTTTTGCTATGACCAATGTGTTCTCTTGCCCAAAGTCTGTTAGCCTCTGCCCTGCTTCATTTTGTACTCCAAGGCTAAACTGCCTTTAATTGAGTCTCTCCTGCAGAAGCATGGATCAGCAGTGGCCACCATGGGGACAGGGGCTCTGGCTGCAACAAACCTAGGAGGTGCTGCGTGTGGCATAACTCTTCTTGAAAGAGGTTGCCTTTAGCCCCATCATAGAGCCATCGAGCAGATGACCCACAAACTGGAGAACAATTATATCAAAGAAGTTCTCACACTGTTGCAAAAGATGTAGGGCCCACAACAGATTCCCCAACCTGGGTTTCTGGCAAAGAGACTGAGAATCTAGGGAGCCCTGAGTAATCTAGAGGAAGAGAATAGAAGTCTAGATGTGAGGGGCTCCGAATAGTGGATTAATCGACCAGTAAAAACCATTATCATCCTTCTGTAAGGCAGTTGAGCAGATATCCCAAAAACACTAAATATGTTTATTATGCCCTTAAGTCTGGTAACTCCCATCAGGCCGTGTGGAGTATTGGGTGGTATTAGAGAGCCCTGAGTTCAAACGCCAACATCCCATTTACTAACTCTCTTGTCTTAGGCAACTTACCATCCCAAACCCCCAATTTCCTTTTTTACAAATGGAATAATAATACCCATCCTTTAACCTTTCCTAAGGTAAAAGCAATATAATAACTTGAAAAGAAATGTTTGAAAACTGAAAGAAAAAAAATTCTCCTATCATCAGTTACCCACCTAATATAATTCTTTCTGTGGTTCTGTGACATTGAGGATCACTTTTTGAGGCAGGAGCCACAGGCAGTGTTAATAAAGGAGAGAGAATGAAGACAGGAACAGGCTGAGGTCAGAGGCCAGGGTGTGGATCAAGAATAACCATGGGATGGATGAACTGAGGCAGACAAGAAAGCCAGCTAGAGAGGTAGAATAAAGGAGATACCTAATCTGAGTAATAGATAATGGTTAGACAGAACCTGAGAACCAGAAAGTAGAGAGCAAGTTGGAGGACAACAGTGTGCCCTAGAGTGGCTTCCTTCCAAAATTTTAAGGCTCTTTCACTTAGGTAGGCTTCAGTGGTCCCAAAGAGCCTTGAAACTGTACTCTTGCCAATTTTGTTTAGTCGCATGCATGTGTATTTTGAAATTGCTTCTTAGTGTATATACCTTTTTATTTTTTACTGAGTATCTTCAACATTTTCTGTGTCACAAGTCTTCATAATGATTCCTTTTAGTGTCTGCCAAATAGTCCAATTTCACTTGTACCCAGAAAACACACCCATGTGTATTAACTTTTTGCTTCCTTAACTTATTTCCTTAGAATAAAGTGGGATCACTGAGCATGATGATATGCAACTGTGAATTAACAACCAGAAATAGGCTTTATTTTTCTAAGGAAAGAAATGAACTGCAGTTCTTCCCATCTCCTGCCTCTTCTGGAACTGATGAGGAGACCCTATAGAGTTATATGCTCCAATATGAGAGCCATTATTCCCATGTGACTGTTAAAACTTAATTTTAATTGATTAATTAAAATTAAACAAAATTCAAAATTCAGTTCCTCACTTGCATTAGCCATATTTTGAATGCTCAGTATCTACATGAAACAGAAGACATTAAGAAGATGTGGCAAGAATACACAGGAGAATGATACAAAAAAGATCTTAATGACCCAGATAACCATGATGGTGTGATCACTTACCTAAAGTCAGACAACTTGGGGTATGAAGTCAAGTGGGCCTTAGGAAGCGTTACTACAAAAAAAGCTAGTGGAGGTTATGGAATTCCAGCTGGGCTATTTCAAATCCTAAAAGATGATGCTGAGAAAGTGCTGCACTCAATGTGCCAGCAAATTTGGAAAACTCAGCAGTGGCCACGGGACTGTAAAAGGTCAGTTTTCATTCCAATCCCAAAGAAAGGCAGTGCCAAAGAATGTTCAAACTACTGCATGATTGCACTCATTTCACATGCTAGCAAAGCAATGTTCAAAACCTTCAAGCCAGGCTTCAACAGTACGTCAAGCAAGAACTTCCAGATGTTCCAAGCTGAATTTAGAAAAGGCAGAGGAACCAGAGATCAACTTACCAACATCTGATGGACCATAGAAAAAGCAAGGGAATTCCAGAAAAAAAAAAAAATCTACATTTGCTTCATTGACCACGCTAAAGCCTTTGACTATGTAGATCACAAGAAATTGTGGAAAATCCTTAAAGGGATGGGAATACCAGTCCACCTTACCTGCCTCCTGAGAAGCCTGTGTGAGGAGAAGAGACAACACTTAGAACTGGACATGGAACAATGGACTGGTTCCAGATTGTGAAAGGAGTAGGTCAAGGCTGTATGTTGTCACCCTGCTTATTTAACTTACATGCAGAGTATGTCATGGGAGATGCCAGACTGGATGAAGCTCAAGCTGAAATCAAGATTTCCAGAAGAAATACCAATAACCTCAGATATGCAGATGACACCACCCTAATGGCAGAAAGCAAAGAAGAACTAAAGAGCCTCTTGATGAAAGTGAAAGAGAAAAATGAAAAAGCTGGCTAAAAACTCAACATTCATAAAACTAAGATCATGGCATCTGGCACTTCATGGCATATAGAAGGGGGAAAAGTGGAAGCAGTGGCAGGTTTTATTTACTTGGGCTCCAAAATCACTGTGGATGGTGACTGGAGCCATGAAATTAAATGACACTTGTCTTTTAGAATGAAAGCTATGACAAACCTAGTCAGTGTATTAAAAAGCAGAAACATTACTTTGCCATCAAATATCCATATAGTCAAAGCTATGGTTTTCCAGTAGTCATGTATGGATGTGAGATTTGGAGTATAAAGAGCTGAGCACTGAAGAATTTATGCTTTTGAACTGTGGTGTTGGAGAAGACTCTTGAGAGTCCCTTTGACTGCAAGGAGATCAAACCAGTCAATCCTAAAGGAAATCAACCTTGAATATTCATTGCAGGGACTGATGGTGAAGCTGAAGCTCCAATATTTTGGCCACCTAATGTGATCTTACTCATTGGAAAATACCCTGATGCTGGTAAAGATTGAAGGCAGAAGGAGAAGGGGACGACAGAGGATGAGATGGTTGGATGGCATCACCGATTCAATAGACATGAGTGAGCAATCTCTGGGAACTAGTGAAGGAGATGGAAACCTGGCATGCTGCAGTCCATTGGGTTATAAGATGTCAGACACGGCTGAGGGACTGAACAATAACAAAGCTACATGTGCCTGGTGGCTACTGTATTATAAAGCATAGGTACAGAAGATTTCCTTCGTTATAGAAAATGTATTGGCTAGTGCTTATCTAGAGTTATGTTTTTTTTTTCTGGATGTTGTGGTATGAGACTTCCCTGTTCATTGGGACTGTTTAGCATTTCTGTCTCATGTCCACTAAATGCTAGTGGTACTCTCCCTTGAATCAATCTAACAGCTAAAGCCTGCCCCACATTTGCAAATGCTCCATCAAGGAACTCAATTACCCACATTTGAGACTCATTGAGCTTTTATGTTAGAAGAATCCCCTACCTTTGTCAGCATATCTTCAGGTTGTTTCTGACTAAAGAGAGGGAAACTTAGAAAGATGACTTATCAAGATAGGCCTGGCTCAGGGTCTAACACTGTACTCCATTCCCCCTTTCCTTCCTCCTCCTGCTGATCTGTTTCCTCCATTTGGGGGACTGCAGGAACAAGACCCTGCAGATGGAAAAGATCAAAACCCGTTTGAAGGCTGAGTTTGAGGCCCTTGAATCAGAGGAGAGGCACCTGAAGGAATACAAGCAGGAGATGGACCTCCTGCTACAGGAGAAGATGGCCCATGTGGAGGAACTCCGACTCATCCACGCTGATATCAATGTGGTATGTGGCTGGCTGCCTGAAGCCTATTTCTGGGCACTTTGAGGAGGAATAGACTGTAGTGAGTGCTGTGACCTCTCCTCAAGATGTGACTGTGGCCAACTTAGAGGAGTAGACATCAGGCTGTGGTGAAATGGAAGAATCTAGGAGTTCTGAGATCCAGCTCTGGTTCTGTCACTGATTGACTGTGTATCACTTGGACAAGTTCCCTCTCTCTGGGCCTCATTTTCCCTCTCTGTGCCATGAGAGGGATTCAGTCACTTCTGAGGTCTTATTCAGCTCTGATGTGCTCTGATTCTGGGAGTCTGGGAGTTGAGAGCTATCCTTGGGGAAAAGCAGGGCAGGCAGATACCTCTGGTGGTGGGATTGGTGGGGGGGAGAATTGAGCAGGCAATTGCCTCTGGGGTCTAACTTAAATTTAGGGCTCCAAAGCTTTCAACTAGGCCAAACAAATCATCTTTGCCAGCCTACCAAGCTGGGGCTCCCTCATTTGAGTCTCTCTTTTGGAGAGACTCTTAGAATGTGGGGAATGAACTGCCTGCTAAGGTGATAGGTTTCCCACTTTTTAGAGTTATTAAAGCACAGTCTGAATGATCACCTGTCTGAGCAGTGGTATTAGTGATTCCTTCACCAGGAGGGAGATTCCAGGTGCTGATCTGTAAGGCTCTTTCCAACTCTTAGAGCCTATGATAGTGAGAAATAGTTTTTGTTTTTGTTTTTGTTTTTTTAAATTACATTTGAAGGAGCTAAGTTCCCATTCTTGGGAAACTCATTTCTCTGGCAATATTTATTTCCTGATATTGCCAGGCCTAGGATCTTAAAGGAAATATGAATGTAATTTGGATAATAGCTACTTGGGATTTTCTGTGTCACGAGATCACAGGATATGAGGGTCTTATTAAGAGTTGGCAGTTCTGCTACCATCTAACCAAGGACAGAGAAAAAACAAGATATGAGTCACAAAGGGACTGAAAATCTGGCCCAGTGGATCTCAAACTTGAACATGCCTCATAAGTCACCTAGAGGTCCTATTAAAACACAGATTGTTGGACTCCACCCCAGAATCTCTGATTGCTTGTATCTGGGGTGGTACCTGAGAACTTGCATTCCTAATCAGTTCCCAGCTGATTTTGCTTATCTGGTAACTGCATTCTGGGAAACACTGATCTAGGAGAAGGGCCACTGTCCTGGGAGACAGAAGCCCTGGGGCTTTCTCTAGACTTTGTTCCTAAGAAGCATTTCTCTGAGGTAGTTCCTTCTTCTGTCTGAGTCTCAATTCTCTGACCTGTAAAATGGTGGTAGTGTGTGTACTACATGAGTTCTAAGGACCATCCCACCTTTGAGGTTCTATATTTGAATAATAATTACCATTTATTGAGATTTTGGGGGCTTCCCTGGTGGCTCAGCAGTAAAGAATCTGCCTGCCAATGCAAGAGGTGTGGGTATGATCCCTGGGTCAGGAAGATCCTCTGGAGAAGAAAATGACAACCCACTCCATTATTTTTGCCTGGGAAATCCCATGGACAGAGGAGCCTGGCGAGATATAGTCCATAGGGTAGCAATGAGTTGGACACGATGTAGCAACTAAACAAGAACAAACAAAACTGAGCCTTTACTCTGTGATAGTCCCTATACTGAGAGTTTATATTAATTCAGTCATTGAATCTTCACCAACTTTATATGAGGTAGGTACTGTTATTATCACCATTACATAGATGAAGAAACTGAAGCTTGACAAGAGTCACAAAGAATATGTGGTGCATTCAGAAGTTGATCATAGATTGGTCTGGCTCTGGAGCCTGTGATTTTAACCACTCAGCTGTAGAGCCGCACTGAGAATCTTGGAGTTTTTTCTGTGTGCCTACCTCACTCTGTGTTCCAGATGGAAAACACTATCAAACAGTCTGAGAATGACCTAAACAAGCTGCTAGAGTCTACCCGGCGGCTACATGATGAGTATAAGCCACTGAAGGAACATGTGGATGCCCTGCGCATGACTCTGGGCCTGCAGAGGCTCCCTGACCTATGTGAAGAGGAGGAGAAGCTCTCCTTGGAGTAAGCTGCCTGCCTCCTGTCCCTGCAACACACACACACACACACACACACACACACACACACATATGTATATATACACACATAAAGCCTGTCATAGCCCCAGGCCAGTCAGTGGCTGACTTACTGCATGACCTTGGGTAAGTCTCTGTGTTGGGCTGTTAGATGATTAGACTAGAGTTACTAGATGGCTTTCAAAGTTCTTTGTGCAGTTTTGAGAATATAGGACTATGTCTATGACTTTATGTGTCTGCATGTCTGTGACTTTTAGGAGGACACTTCCCAAGTCAAGGTCTAAAAGATGTGTCCAGAAACCTTTGAAAATACAGAAGGGTGAGCTTTCATGGCCTCCAGAGACTAACTTAGAACTTTGTCTTAAGATTCAGAGTTAAGAATTAGGCTTACTTTAAAGAGACACAGAGTTCAGTTCAGTAGAAGGAAGCAAACGTCCTTAAAGTAGAGCAGGTTGCCTGTGGAAGTGATGAGCTTCTTATTCCTACAGGTATGTCAGCAGAGGCCTGAGGATACTTAATAGGAATACTGCAGAGGAACTTGGGATGGAGGATAGACAAATGCCCTTCGAGAACTTAGAGAGCCCTGGGATTTCTTGATTTTCTTGAGTCTGTCAGAGCCAAGGAGCAGGAAGATTACCTTTCCCAACAGACAGTGGGCCTAGTATGCATGGAGAACCTTGTGCTGGAGAGGGTGCAGGAACTTTCTATAGCGAGCCACAGCCCAACCCTCTTTATTCTGTAGCATGGAGTCCTTAAGAGGGATAAGATTGTCCTTGCTTTCAGAATGATCCAGCTAGTGTCTCTTTTCTCCAAAGTTACTTTGAGAAACAGAAAGCAGAGTGGCAGACAGAGCCTCAGGAGCCCCCGATCCCTGAATCATTGGCCGCTGCAGCCGCTGCCGCCCAACAACTCCAAGTGGCTAGGAAGCAGGACACTCGGCAGACAGCCACCTTCAGGCAGCAGCCCCCACCTATGAAGGTGAGTGAGCTGTGTATTGACTGTGGAGGAAGCAAGGTATCCTCAAGTAGCCCCAAAGAAGATTGGGTCTGGTGCTTTGGTCTTATTTGGGGTCTTCCTAAAACAGCTTTTGTTTGGGACACAGAAGAAAAGGTCGTGTATGCTAGAGGAGACCCACTGGTCTCACCTTGTATTCCCAGAAGAGTTCGAATACAGGAATGTTGGTGGGCTTTGCTAAAGTATAATTTTCAAAAAGCTAGAAACATAACTCAGAAAATATATATTGAGTGTATATCATTAACGAGGGAACAAGCAGCATTACAAATCTAGTTCCAAAAGCATTAGAGGAGCAAATGATTATATAGTCAGGAAAGGAAAGGAATGCTGAAATAAGTTTGCAATGTTAAATCCAGAAATGGTTAATGTCATATAGAGCAATAAAACCGTAATCTTTGTGATTACCTTTTCTTTGGAACACACATAATTTGAATCTCTACTGGGCAAAAACTATTTGTGGTTTGCCAACATTAAGTCACAGAATCTGGACCCTGATCAATAGTAAATAATCAAATACTATAGTATGTAATAGAAAAGTATTTACACTCAATGGAACAGAATAGAGAGCCCAGAAGTAAACCCACATACCTACGTTCAATGTCTTCAACAAGGAGGAAAGACTACACAATGGAGAAAAGACAGTCTCTTCAGCAAGTGGTGCTGGGAAAGCTGGACAGCTACAGGTAGAAGAATGAAATTAGAACACTCCCTCACACCACACACAAAAGTAAACTCAAAATGGCTTAAAGACTTAGATATAAGGCATGATACCATACAATTCCTAGATGAGAAGATAGGCAAAAAATTCTCTGACATAAGTCATACCATTGTTTTCTTAGGTCAGTCTCCCAAGGCAATAGAAGTAAAAGCAAAAATAAACAAATGGGACCTAATCAAACTTATAAGCTTTTGCACCACAAGAGAAACCACAAACAGAAATGAAAAGCCAAAATATGAACTGAAAGGAAATATCTGCAAATGATGGGACAAACAAAGGCTTAATACTCAAAATACAAAAATAGCTCATACAATCAGTAACAAAACAAGCAACCCCATCAAAAAATGGGCAGAAGACCTCAATAGACATTTCTCCAAAGAAAATATATAGATGGCCAATAGGCACATGAAAAGATGCTCAATATCACTAATTATTAGGGAAATGCAAATAAAAACTACAATGAGGCATCACCACACACTGGCCAGAATGGCCATCATTAAAAATTCTACAAGAGTTCTGCCAATGACAGACCCTCTAATCATCTGTTGCAATCCAAGGAGGCCTGTCCATGTGGCAGGCAATACCAAGGTTCCACTAAGTCAGAGATTTCCATTGTGTCCTTGCACACTGGCTTTTGGAACTCAAGTAAAGGCCCTTTGATTTCAGGTGAAATTCCTCTTGGTAGATTGGACCTAGGCTGGTCTTTGGAGAGAGATCAAGCCCTGGGCTTTTGGAGTGCGAGCACTGACTCCAAGACCCTAGACTACCAGAGAACTAACACAAGGTAGTATCAAATAGTGAGAACTCACACAAAGGAAACCACTTGAATACAATACCAAGCATCACCCAACCAGCAGTAGCACCCTGTGCAGGATGCCTCATTTAAACAACTAACAAAACAAAAATGCAAACCCAATTATCAGTAGACAGGATTACCACCTCACTCAGCCTTGTCCACCACAGGAAAAAAATACAAACAAACAAAAATTCAGCACCAATATCAACCTATATGAAGCATACACAAACCACTGGACCAACCTTCGGAGGATAGAAACAAAAAGGAAGAAAGAATTCAACCTCAAAGCCTGGGAAAAGGAGACCTCAAACACAATAAGTTAAAAAAAAATAATGAAAAGGCAGAGAAATACTACACAAATGAAGGAACAAACTAGAAACACAGAAGTCCAAATAAATGAAGAGGAAATAGGCAAACTACCTGAAATATAATTCAGGATAATGGTAGTAAAGATGATCAAAATCCTTGAAAACAGAATGGAGAAAATTCAAGAATCAATAAAGACCTAGAAGAATTAAAGAATAAACACACAGAGACAAACAACACTACTACTGAAATTAAAAATACTCTAGAAGGAATCAATAGCAGAATATCTGAAGCAGAAGAATGAATCGGTGAGCTGGAAGACAAAATGGTAGAAATTACTTCTGAAAAGCTGAATAAAGTAAAAATAATGAAAAGAACTAAGGATAGTCTCAGAGATTTCTGGGACAATATCAAATGCACCAACATTCAAATTATAGGGATCCCAGAGGAAGAAAGGTTATGACAAAATTTTTGAAGAGATTATAGTTGAAAATTTCCCCAACATAGAAAAGAAAATAGTCAATCAAGTCCAAGAGGCACAAAGAGTCCCATACAGGATAAACCCAAGAAGAAACATGCCAAGACACATAGTAATCAAACTAAAAAAGACTAAACACACATAAAGAATATTAAATGCAGCAAGGGAGAAGCAACAAGTAACATACAAGGGAAACCCCATATGCTTAACAGCTGGTCTTTCAACAGAAACTCTGCAGGCCAGAAGGGAATGGCAGTATATATTTAAAGTATTGAAAGGGAAAAATCTACAACAAAGATTATAGTACCTGGCAAGGATCTCATTCAAAATTGATGGAGAGGCTCCAGGCTGCAGCACTGGTGGGCTTGGCTGGGAAGAGCTGATCTTCTCCCTCCCAGGCAGATCTCCCACATTACAGACATATTCTTTACAATCTGAGCCACCAGGGAAGCCCAAGAATACTGGAGTGGTTAGCCTATCCCTTCTCCAACAGATATTCCTGACCCAGGAATCGAACCAGGGTCTCTGGCATTGCAGGTGGATTCTTTTCCAGCTGTGCTACCAAGGAAGCCCCAAAGGTTGGATTATATGGTCTCTATTGCTCTATTTTCAAGTTCACTAATCTTCCCTTTGTCATCTCCATTGTGCTATGGATCCCATCCAGGGGAAGTCCTTAGATGGCAGAGGAATAGGATGGGGAGATCACTTTATCCCCCACAAAATCATCAAAAGATCATATGAATCCTGAGAAAATTCCACAAAACCACTTCTGAACGCTCACAAAGGACAACAGGCACACAGAAAGGTAGCCCGTTCTCTTTGAAAGGAGATGATTTTATCATCAGTGCCATATGGATGGAGAAGTCTAGAGGCTACTCTAAGAATAACACTGAAAGCCAGAGGCAGGAGGCTTAAATCCAGAACTTGAGAACACCAGAAAACTCCTGATTCCAGGGAATATTAATCAACAAGAGCTCATCCAAAAGCCTCATACTTACACTGGAACCAAGCTACACCCAAGAGCCAACAAGTTTCAGAGCAAGACATACCAAGCTAATTCTCCAACAATCCAGGAACATAACACTCAGTATTAAAATACAGGCAGCCAAAAGTCACACAAAACCCATAGACATATCAAAACTCACTACTGGACACTTCATTGCACTCCAGAGAGAAGAGATTCAGCTCCACCCACCAGAACATGAACGCAGGCTCCCCTAGCCAAGAAACCTTGGCAAGCCACTCGTCAAACCCCACTCATAGGGAGTAACCTCCACAATAAAGAGGAACCACAAAATTCCAGAATATAGAAAAGCCACCCCAAACACAGCAATCTAAACAAGATAAAAAGACAGAGAAATATTCAGCAGGTAAAGGAACATGACAAATGCCCAACAAACCAAACAAAAGAGGAGGAGATAGGGAGTCTACCTGAAAAAGAATTGAGAATAATGATAGTAAAAATGATCCAAAATGGTCAAAACAAAATGGAGTTACAGATAAATAGTCTGGAAACAAGGATTTAGAAGATGCAAGAAATGTTTAATAAGGACCTAGAAGAAATAACAGTCAATAAATAATGAATAATGCAATAACTGACATTAAAGGCACTCTGGAGGGAAACAACAGTAGAATAATTGAAGCAGAAGATAGGATAAGTGAGGTGGAAGATAGAATGGTGGAAATAAATGAAGTAGAGAGGAAAAAAGAAAAAAGAATTAAAAGATATGATGACAACCTCAGATTTCTGGGACAAGGATAAAAGTCCCAACATTCGAATCATAGCATTCCCAGAAGAAGACAAAAAGAAAGGCCATGAGAAAATACTTGAGGAGATAATAGTTGAAAACTTCCCTAAAATGGGGAAGCAACAAGTCACCCAAGCCCAAGAAACCCAGAGAGTGCCAAACAGGATAAACCTAAGGTGAAACACAACAAGACACTTATTAAAATTAACAAAGATCAAACACAAAGAGCAACTATTAAAAGCAGCAAGGGAAAAGCAACAAATAACACACCAGGGGATTCCCATAAGGGTAACAGCTGATCTTTCAATATAAACTCTTCAGGCCAGAAGGGAATGGCAGGACATACTTAAAGTGATGAAAGAGAAAAACCTACAACACAGATTACTGTACCCGGCAAGGATCTCATTCAAATATGAAGGAGAAATCAAAAGCTTTACAGATAAGAAAAAGTTGAGAGAATTCAGCACCAACAAACCAGCTCTTCAACAAATGCTAAAGGATCTTCTCTAGACAGGAAACACAGGAAAGGTGTATAAACTCGAAACCAAAACAACAAAGTAAATGGCAGGGGATTATACTTATCAATAATTACCTTAAATGTAAATGGGTTGAATGCCCCAACCAAAATACAAAGACTGGTTGAATAGATACAAAAACAAGACCCCTATATATGCTGTCTACAAGAGACCTACCTCAAAACAAGGGACACATACAGACTGAAAGTGAAGGGCTAGAAAAAGATATTTCACACAAATGGAGACCAAAAGAAAGCAGGAGTCACAATACTCATATCAGATAAAATAGACTTTGAAATAAAGGTCATGAAAAGAGACAAAGAAGGACACTACATAATGATAAAAGGATCAATCCAAAAAGAAGATATAACAATTATAAATATATATGCACCCAACATATGAG